ACTAGATGCCAACGCTGAGGAAATAGGAAGAGGCTTAATTTCTTTATCTAGCAAGTATTCTCGTGCTATAAAGGCTGCAACCACAGGGCAGAGTTCGCATGGTCTGTGATAACGCTAACTGTGCAGTAGCTTATGTATAGTTTCTCTCTTTTCATTGCAACGTGAAATAAAAGCTAGGGTGACCTTTAGAAAACACACACGCATGCGCGCCCCAAATCCCTCCTTCTTCCTCTCTATTTTGTATTGCCGTGAATGTGGAGAAAAAGGCGGAAACCTCTGCAAGGTGTTTGTTCTCAGAACAGGTCCGGAGGGATGCACAGACGCAGGCAGCAGTTGTCAAGACCTTTATTTCACTGTTTCGGTGCATTTTGGTTTGCAATCTCGGGACCAAAAGTTAGGCTTTTTGGAAGTCTCTTTGGAAGTCGGGGGTTTCCGGCGATAATTAACCCCAGGCTGTTATTTGGGGTGCTTTTATTCCCCGTTATAACAACCTAATCAGCCCCGCGGGCTCCAGCCTCAGTAGTTGCCAGCTCTGGAGCTTGTTTTGGGGAAGACCTTGTGCGTGTCCCCACTGGTGTCCCCTGCCACAGGAGCAGGGGGTGTTCCCAGCAGCTGAAGGCCCTTTGGGCCGCCCCTTTTCAGCACTTGGGCTTTGACTCACGGGTAGACCGAGCCTCCAGCCTTAGACTGCGTTTCGGGCGGCACCGATGAAGTCACGGAAAAGCCGCCGGCCGGTAATGCGTCTGCCGGAGCCCGTGCTCCTGGCGTGGGTTTCTCTCCACGCTCTGGAGTAACCCTTGGTTGTAAAGGCTCCAGTTAGACACCACTGGTTTCAGACACGTGCGCCGCTGCAGTCATTCCCATGGAGGATTTTGTGCTTCCTAAGGTGCTCTCTTAAAGGGAAACAGAAGCCCTTGGCAAGCGTGCGCTTTCTGCTGGCCCACTGTTGATCTTGGGAGGTTTCTGCAGATAAACCTTGAAGGATGCCAGGACTTTTCCCCTGCAAAATCAGATGTTTCTTGMTAGGCTTGTCGCTGTACATACCCACAAGAGATAAGTGGCCCCGGTTAATGCCTCTAATGATACGCTTCGCCTTGGACTTGTACTTTGGCCGCAGGCCTCTATCTTAAAAGTCCATTAAGAGAATGGCAGAAAATTCAGGGTAATTATTTATTTGGTCGCTATTGTCATGAGTGTCGTGAACAACGATTACCTTCGGAGTTTCAGCTCTGAATCACGGCTGTAGGAAGTGAGAAATAGTTCCCTAGTGAGCTTAGAGTTTAATCATTTCTAACTGATAATCTACCTGGAGCATTAACAAAAGGAGGAATGAAAAGAAAAAGAAAAGAAAAGAAAAAGAGAAGAGAAGAGAAGAGAAGAGAAGAGAAGAGAAGAAAAGAAAAGAAAAGAAAAGAAAAGAAAAGAAAAGAAAAGAAAAGAAAAGAAAAGAAAAGGCATTCAGTGCCTTTGCAAATGAATTTCTGAATTTTGAATAAATTTTTGAATGCTTTTCAAAGCATTCAGTGGCGATACGCACCGCTACATAGGATGCTGGAAAATTAAGATATTTTTCTTAATTAATTTGTCCTAATGCTTCCTAGTAGAGCAGTTCTTTGTTTACTTATAGCTTGGCTCCGTTGTAACCCTTGGTGTCCAAACCAGGAGTGCCAAGACTGATTTTGCCTGTTTGGAGCTTGAGAAAGATGCCGCTTTGCTTAACTTCCCCTTGTTCTTTCCATTTCTTTTCCCCCCCCAAAAAAAAAGGAAAGTGGCTTTTATTTTGAGATGCAGAGCTCTGGAGCTKGTCGGGATGGGTTTCTTCTTTGCCATCTGCAGGCCAGATTGCGAGTCCTCAATGAGTGACCGTTGGGACGTGTGTTTTTCCAAGGCTTTTGGACCCGGAGACATCTTCCTGGAAGCAAATAGACCTCATGGAAGCAAATAAAGCCCTGGCAGAGCAAAATGTTTCTTTTGATAGCGGGCTGCTTCTGTTGCGTTGCAAGAAGGCCGGTTTCGGGGGAGAACGGAGGGGAACGTCCCCTTTTTCAGGCCTTTCGATGGGACTGTTGGTTGTTTCCGGGAAGAAGACGAAGCCGCACGTTTGAGGAGCTGCCCGCTGCTCTYGGGGGGCTCTTTTGCACGTTGTTGTTGCTGTTGTTGTTGAAGTCAAGTCAAGCCTTGCTGTGATGGGCTGAAGTCAAGGGGAGCTGCTCTTTGAAGACTTTTTGCAAGGCTTAAATACGATGGCAGCTCAAGTCCTCATCTCCCCATCTTTACCTTCCGCTCTTCTTCTCTGTTGTGTCCAAGGGGTAACTTCCCCCCTTGGAGAGATACTGGGAACATTTTCTGAGGCACCAGGTAATAATAAATGCCAAGGAACGCCAAGTGTAACTGCTTGGAGCAGCCTTTGAGTGGCGCGCAATAAATAAGGCCCACAGTGACATTGGGTTTAGGGAGGAGTGAGTGATTCTGTTGGTCTTCACGTTGACTTAGGCAGGAGCCTAGGAGACAGCGGGGTGCTCCCAGGTGGAAGCCTCGATTGCAGCTTCTTGGGGTTGGATGCACGGACGCTTTGGATAGGAAGCCGTCATCCCGGAATCCCCAAACTTGTGAGTCCTCAGCTTGGAGCTCGGCTCACGCCGTGACTTGTGGGACTGGAGACCGTGACTTGTGGGACTGGAGACACTAGTCTGTGTGGGACTTGGCTCCCGTGAGGCCAGTCTAATGCCTTTCTCCTCAAGCCAAGCAGGTGAAGCTTTGGAAGACAAACTCAGCGCTGCTTTTCAGGAGAGCAGAGAAGTGGCCGCTGTCTAGAGCGAGACCCAAGAGCATCATCCCCCTATGTGGTACCACGGACGGATCAAGACGGGCCTGGTTGCACCTGCCGTAGTCCGAGGAGGAGAAGAAGAGTCAGGTTCCTCCTTTGGATGGAGTGGGACTTGCCCAGCGTGGTCTGTGCACGGCCAGACGTTGGCCTCCACGTCTCAAACGCCACGGCCCAGGCCGGGAAGCTCACGGGGGCGCGGACCTGCTGAACGTGGCTCGCTGTCCCTTGCGTCGGCAGCGCTGCTGACATGTTGATTCAGCGCTCRCAGATAAGATAATCGCGGTCCAAAGCCCGTTTTGCTGTGGTTTGTGTTTTCTTATGCTTAGTGAAACGATTTCTTGAGCTCTTAAGGTAAACAATGTGGATAAAACATGATGTTACCCTGGCACGTTGGCTCCTGGCGCTGTGCCCTGCGGGTGAGCGCCGCAGTGCCCAGCGATGAGACCGGCTCCTCCTGGCGTTGCAGGTGGGCCCTGTGCCACGAGAGACCTGCGTGCGTGCGTGGGATGAGAGGACACGAGCAGGTTATGGGGTTCCAAGCGTGGAATTCAGATTTGCTCCCCGGTGGGATGGCTCCAGCCTGCAGCCGCCTGCAGGGAGGCAGCCGTCGAAGCCTGGAAGGGACTGGGGGATTTTGGAAGGGTTTTGTTCTTCCCACAACCACCACCTCCTTCCAGAGGAGTCAGGGGAACCTGCCAGGCGCGAGACCCCTGTTGTTGCTCTTTCCTGGGTGCTTATATAGACGCGGGCGGTGACTTTTGCTGGGGAGGTCCCATCCAAATCCTCTCCGATACGGCGGTGGGGACGCGGCTTCCATTTACCTTGCGGAAAACAGGGATGTTGTTTCTGGCGCTGGCATCTGCTGGTGTCACCTGGAAGATCCCCGGGCTCGGGAGCTGAGGAGATGCCCCCGTGCCCAATGTTTGCTCCGCGCGCAGCCCTCCCTTGGGATTCCTGGAAGGAGGACAGGATGGGCTTGTTTTCCCCGGAAAATAACATCTGTCCCRGCTTTCCACATTCATCAGGAAAAAGGAGGAGCCCAGGGTGATTTGCATCATCTTTCCGAAGCGAAAAGAAAAGCTCGATTTGGGCAACTCRGGGCGAGGGGGAAGACGGATCGCGTTGCCCGGACCTTTTACCCTGCCGGCTGGAAGTCATTGATTGATGTGTAGAAATCAGCGTCCGTCTGCTTTGCAGGATGACGTGGACACAAACTCGGACTTTGGGCTTTGGGGGCTTTTTTTTTTTTTTAGATTGAATTCCAGGGCGGCATCGAGCTTGATTCCGGGAACGCGAAGCGCTCCGACTCGCCCCAGAAGGAGGAGTGTTTTGGGCAACGCTCGAAATGGGGGCCTGGCGCCCAGGAACGTTTGTAATTAATTGCCCAGGAGGATACAAGTTAGGAGCACAGCTATGAGAACTTGTGCGCTGTGAGGGTGCCCGAGSCCTGGCCCAGGCTGCCCAGGGAGGCTCCTGCTCGGGAGGTCTTCCCAAGCCGCCTGGATGCGCCYGGGTGCCCCGTGCTCTGGGTGTCCCGGGCGGGCTCTGGTAGCGCTGCGCTGCGGGCACCGCTCCCGGCGGGTTTGCGGGACGTTTCCCGAGGGAGTTCCCCTTCGGAACAGCCTGTCCCGCGGCGGGCTGTGCCTTGCGGTTCTCACCTGTCCTTCCAGGGCTCGGCCTGTGGGATACAGCCCGGAGGTGCTGTGGGAAGCCGTGGGAAGGGAGGGAAAGGCTCGTGCAGCCCCCTGCTCGCGTGCACGAGCACAAGCAGGCGCCTCACAAGAGCTGGGGCGGCTTCTGGAGGCTCCTTGTCCTTGGACTGGGCTGAGCTTGGAGGAAGAGCCTCCGCTGCCCCGTTCCGGCATCTAGAGCAGCTCGGCAGGGCCCCCAAGGCCTCCCGCCCTGGGAGCTGAGAGCCAGGCCCGGCTCTTCACCGGAAAGCCTTATCTTGGAAAAGTACTCGGAGGCCTCTGGCCCCTTGGCGTGCTTCACGGTCGGAAGATGAGCACTGCGTGTTTTCGGGAAGCGTTTTCCTGCGCTCCCGAGGGGCCTGCTGTGGAAAAGCACACGCGTGTACATAACTACGGAGAGCTTTGTGCTCCGCGGTGCAGATTGATGGYGCGCCAGCCTCTTCTTGCGACATCCGTCATCTCGTTCCGTCAGGCTCCCAGGAATGCGCCGCTTCCTGAAGCCGGCTCGGGAAGAGGCGCTCTCGCGGTCCAGGGCGGGTGGAAAGGGCTCCCGAGGAAGCGGGAGCTCCCGCAGAAGGTGTGGGAAAGGATGGGGAAGCACATCCCGGTTCTCCGGGCTGCAGCATCCGCCTCATCCCTTGGGCGTTTGGGGTGCGTCGGAAAATACCTGCCTGGAAAGGGGAAAAGGAGCAGAGCTACCGGAGCCCCAGAGCAGCATCCCGGGAAAAACAAAAGCCAGCTCGCTGCTTTTTATCCCTTGGAGTGGCTGTGCGGAAGCAAAGCCTGGGATTCAGCAGTGGGAGCGGGAATGCGAGTCCCGGGGTGGGTRAAAGTGTCGCTGAGAGGGCAGCCCTGGAACCCGCTTTAGTCCAGGCCTTCCCCTCAGGTCACCAGAGGACAACACAGGTCCCAGGGTGGGAATCGAACCGTTGCTGTGGGGACTCCCCAGGAATTATTTTCCCATCCCGGAGCGTTTTCAGCCTGGGTTTCACAGCGCCGGGACGGCTCTTGGGGCTTCCTTGACCTCCGTCTGGGAGGCAGGATCGATGCGGAGGGTTTCTGTGGACGCAGCCGTCCTTGTCCCTACAAGAAAACGTCCCTGAACTGGCTGAGTTTTCAGTGTGCCCCCAAGCAACTGCAAATGGAAAATTACTCCTCTCGCTTGCAGATATTTAAAAAAAAAGGCTARTTTTGGCAGATTTAGCTGAAAATAAGTTGGGAAAGGGCATGCAATGAATATAACAGCAAAATCTGCACACAAATCAAAAAAAAGGATGTAGGGGAAAGGCAATGATGTTCCTTCTTCTGCTAGGGACTGATTTTTCGCCCGGGTTCCTGGGCAGGCAGAGCCCCGCGTCGCATGCAGTACCCGCAATACATGCGCTGTGCACAACCCCGACGTGTTTCTCTCCTTTACGCACCCCCAGAGAGCGACCAACGTGATCTACCAAGCCCACCACGTCAGCCGGAGCAAGAGGGGCCAAGTGGTCGGCACGAGGGGCGGCTTCCGCGGCTGCACCGTCTGGCTCACAGGTAGCGCGGCGCCCGCCGTCAACGAGCGAGAGGGCAACCTGAGATGGGGACACTGGGAGGGGAAGCGGCCGCCCCGCTTCGTCTCTTGGCTTAGTGGGAAGTCCCGGGTGGATCAGGGCGGGCGGCATCGGCATCGTCGTCCCCGACGCGCGTGTCGCTTCCGTGCCCGCCGCAGGCCTCTCCGGCGCGGGCAAGACAACCATCGGCTTCGCGCTCGAGGAGTACCTGGTCTCGCACGGCATCCCCTGCTACTCCCTGGACGGCGACAACGTCCGGCACGGCCTCAACAAGAACCTGGGCTTCTCGGCCGGCGACCGCGAGGAGAACATCCGCCGCATCGCCGAGGTGGCCAGGCTCTTCGCCGACGCCGGCCTCGTCTGCATAACGAGCTTCATTTCCCCCTTCGCCAAGGTGAGCCCGCGGCCCTTGCCCGCTGCCGGGTGGGTTTCCCGACGTGGCTCTTCCTAAGGATGAGGGGTTTGTGCCGTAGGCAGCCCCAGGAGCTGCAAAATCCCCCACCGTTTCTCTTCTCCCTTCCAACAGGATCGTCAAAACGCTCGGAAAATTCACGAAGCGGCTGGGCTCCCTTTCTTTGAGATCTTCGTGGATGCTCCCCTAAATATCTGCGAGAGCAGAGATGTGAAGGGCCTGTACAAAAAGGCGAGAGCTGGCGAGATCAAAGGTATGGAAGAGCAGCCCCTTGTTTTGCCTTTTGCTTTGAGGAGCATTCGATGGCTTGTCTGTGCAGCTCTGCGATTAGAGAAGTGCTGAAGGCAGGTTAAGGAAGGCTGTTCCTGCCCCACCAAAACATCCCGTACCCCTAATCTCGCTGTCACAGGTGCCATGWACAGTCCTCAATACGGCTGGAGGCTTCCTGGCTGCTTGTGCAGCGTTGTTGGCCCTGGGACACGGTGTGTCGCACCAAATAAACCTAGTTTGGGTTTAATTGTCCGTAGGATTCACGGGGATTGACTCGGAGTATGAGAAGCCCGAATCTCCTGAGCTGGTGTTGAAAACGAACGTGTCGTCGGTGTCCGAGTGCATTCAGCAGCTCGTGGAGCTGCTACAGACACAGGTAGGTCACCTCTTTGCCGCCTCTGGTGGCACTCTGTGAACCTGGTTTCACATGCTCCTTTTGGGGGGAGATTCTTACAATTGCTCTCTGCCTGTCTCCCTCAGAACATTGTCCCCCAGTCGTTGATTAAGGATGTTCTCGAGCTGTTTGTGCCTGAAAATAAACTGGATTTTGTGCGAGCTGAAGCCGACGCGCTGCCCGCCGTGGAGATCACGAAGGTATCGCCCTCGCTGTGAGCGCGGCGCGGCGCGGGCGGGAGAGCCGAGCCGCAGGTAAGCCCAGCKCCCCGCCTGTGTCTTGCAGCTGGATCTGCAGTGGGTGCAAGTGCTGAGCGAAGGCTGGGCCACGCCGCTGAGGGGCTTCATGCGCGAGGCCGAGTACCTGCAAGTGATCCACTTCGGCACCCTGCTCGACGGTACGGCCCCGCGCTGCGCGCCGCCTTCCCGCGGTCGCCTGCGCGGAGCAGCTGCGGCCCGCGCCRGGCTCTCTCGTCCTCCTGGAGCGCTAACCGCGAGGCCGCCGGCCCAAAACCCGGCCGGAGAAGCAGGGAGATGCCAGGCTCAGTTCCCGATGGAAGGAGAGGGCAGTCACACCTTGGAAACAGGAGCAGGGGCTGATTTAGCATCTTTCCCCGCCGGTCCCGCCACCACCTTTTCCCTGTTTCGTTACTGCTGTCACAGGATGGCATTTCCCCGTCATCAGGCCCAGGTCTGTCATCTTTGAGCTGTCTCTTGTGCCTCATGAGGTCTGCGAGGGGCCCATCAGGACGCCGGGCTTCACAGTACCCCCCAAAACGCCCCCAAAAGCGCTTTGGCTTTGCCCTTCGATGCAATAACCCTCCGTAAGAGGACGTTTGCTGTAGAGGGCACTTGCCTCTGTCCCAGGTACACGGGGTCTCCACACAGACGCTCCCCTTGGACGCCTTGGGGTCCCCTTGGACGCCTTGCTGGGTCCAAAGGGGGATGCTGGGCACCTCAGTAGGAGCAAGATGTGCCCGGCTGCATTTTCGGTGGACCTGTCGGCCCCTGGTTGGGGCAGTGCAAGTTAGGATTCCTGTTACCTCGTGCTGCACCAGTATTTTCCGTGCTGTCAGCAGTAAATCGCGCTGTGGTATTGCTGTTAGTTGGCTGCATACAAGAACTTCTAAAACATGCATCCCTATGGACCTCTTCCTGTCCGGAGTGCTCCCTCCAGCAGGACGGAGGGAAAGTCCATGCTGGCGTGTGCCGTTTGCATCGGACACAGCCAGAAAGGGCCCGCGGGAGCCCCGTGATCCATGGGTGCTCCACGGGGCTCAGGGCATCCGCACGGCGCGGCAGCGGGTGCCTTGGAGGTCCCTGCTCCGTGTGCTGCCCGCTGCGGCCGTCACCGGCGCGGGGCCGGGCCTTGGTCCTGCAGCCTTTGGGGGGAAGCGGCGCTTCCCCCCGCGCAACGTGAACCTCCGTAGTCGGAGGCTGCGGCGCTCCCGTCCTCCCTGTTGGGAAATGGGAGTGCGACCTCAGCCCGGGGCACATTCCAGGGGAAGGATGGGGCTTTGTCCTGCGCCCCCAGAGCCTCCCAGCGGTGCCTGTGGCATCCATTGCCAAAATTCCCAGTCCCGAGGAGGCGCGCGGAGGTTGGGATGTGACGGGAGGCCCCCGCAGCCCCTGAGTGCCTCCCGGTGGCCTTAAACTCGCCGCTCCGACTCGTGGAACTGTCGCTGTGCATGTTGCCTGCAAGAATTAATGATCTTACCTGTGTTTGTGTTCTCCCAGGAAAGAATTCCTCCCTAGCGGGTACGTATACAGCCATTCCCAAGCTCGTGTCCAAATGACTCCAATTAGAAATTTTCCTAAACAGTAATTTTTTTTTTCTTTTTGGACATTATTTTGAATAATAAGACTACCAAGGGTGCCTCTCAGTGCTGCCTGCCCATGACTCAATCATCTTAACCCTAATCCCGGCAGAGTAATTCGTAGCTGCTCCCGCTCCGCGYGCTGCCCTCGGGAGCGCCATCCGGAGAGGCTCGGCTCCGGCGGCGCTCGCTGCCTGCGCCACCCGCGTCCTTCCCTGCTCACTTTATGGAATGATCAGTGATTGATGTTATTGAAATGCGAGGTGGGCGATGATTGCGTGGGGACCCCTTGTGATTTGGGGGCGCCCGCGCTGGTGCACTGACCGCGCTCTGGGGTGCAGGAGGAGGAGGAGGAGGAGGAAGGGATGTTTTACCTGCTCGACGGGAGCCCCTTCCCAGGTACCTGCCCATTCAGGAAGGTGCTTCTCAATCGCTCTCTTGCAGACGAGCGGTACCTGCCATGAAATCTAAGTCAATAAATATGAGCAGTTTAATAAAAATGATCTGAACTACCTCACCCTAAAATCATCCGATGAGGGACCTCAAGGGTCCAGAATGATTTCGGTCAGATCAGAGTCAAATCAGTGATTTGTTCGTTCTTGCTTATGACTGGAAACCCAGGGGAAAGTCATTTTCCGTGTGTTGATATTGGGACGTCCAAGGGGAAGTGGGAAGATCCGAGTCGCAGGGTGGGGAAATGGGGGGAAAAACACAGCAGAACTTCCAGGTATTTAGGGAGAACATCGAACAAGAAACCKCATGTGCAAATCCCAACTTGCCCTAGACCCAGAATACACTTAAAATGGAGTCCACGAGGATAAGCTAAGAAAAGTGGCAGCAGAAAGACATTTCCAGATAGGAAAGGAAAAGCAAAGGGTGGCTGTTACTTCCCTGTGGGAAGAAGCAACGGGAGCAGGAACACGCAGTTCATGTTCTCAGTCATGGCAAAGGTCCTGGGTGAAAGCCAAGCCAGAGYGGTCTTGGCGGAGGTGCCTGTCTTGGAGGGCGGGTATCCATGGTTTTGCCTCCCAGGGGCTTTTCAGGGTTTCCAAGAGACATCCAGTAAAGCTAACCGGAAAGGAACAAATCTTTCTGGGAGGGAAACAGCAGCGTCCAGCGAGTCCAGGGAATAATGAAATATTCCAGGTGTCTTTGAAGCATCYCTAGGACTAACACGTGGAGCTTTCTGTCTCGCGAGCAGCAGTATTTGTTAGTGATGGGCAGAAAAAGGGGCAGTGAATAAGTTTAACCTGACAGAGGGTGAATCCCTGAACTAATTGTGGAAAGAAATGGCCTCCCATTTCCCCGAGGAGGGACTTAGAGAGGTTTAACGTCACCTGGGCCTTCTCTTACCAGACGGCATCATCAACCTGAGCATCCCCATCGTGCTGCCCATCTCCACGGAGGACAAGCAGCGCCTGGAGGGCTGCAGCAAGTTCGCGCTCGCCTACAAAGGGCGGAAGGTGGCGATCCTGAAGAGCCCCGAGTACTTYGAGCACCGCAAGGAGGAGCGCTGCGCCCGCATCTGGGGCACCACCTGCGCCAAGCACCCGCACGTCAAGGTGGGTTTGTGCCCGGCGGGCGTCCGGGGCACCCGCCTCGTCTGCCTTGGGGGCAGCGTCCACTTGGTTGTGCTCCGGGAGGTTAACTCGGGTGGAGGGTGTGATTTATGTGTGCAAGTACCTGAAGGGGAAAATGTAGAGCGGGGCCAAGCTCTTCTCAGTGGTGGCCAGTGATCGGACAAGGGGCAATGGGTGTAAGTGGCAACACGGGCAGTTCCATCTCCATGTGAGGAAGAACTTCTGCAGTGTGAGGGTGCCCGAGCCCTGGCACAGGCTGCCCGGGGAGGCTGGGGAGGCTCCTGCTCTGGAGATTTTCCAAACCTGCCTGAATACGACCGGGTGCGGAGGGTTGGGCTAGATGATCCCTACAGGTCCCTTCCAACCTCAGCCATCCTGTGATTCCGTGAGGACATCGCCTTCTCCGCTGTGCACCTGGCGGAGTTCCCCGTGGCRCCGCCGGCATCGCGGTCGCCGCGTGCTGGGCGAGCGCGCCGCCGGCCCCGCGCTCACGCCCGCGCGCCCCCTTTGCAGATGGTGATGGAGAGCGGGGACTGGCTCGTCGGCGGCGATCTCCTCGTGCTGGAGAGGATCAAGTGGAACGACGGGCTGGACCAGTACCGCCTGACGCCGCTGAGCCTCAAGCAGAAGTTCAGAGAGATGAACGCTGGTGAGCGCCCGGTGCCGCCGGGCTAGGAGCTAGGACACATCTCTTGGGTCCCCGACGCCTTTATTTTGTGACCCTGCAGCTCCCAGGCCTTACGTCTGTGTCCAACAGAGCAATGCATGTGCTCCATTCCTGACGCTTTCCAACTCTTTCCCTGCTTCCTCTGCCCCCTTAGGCTTTGGGTCTGCTCCTGAGCTGGCAATACGCAGCTGGGGAGGACAGAAACYGCTTCCAAAATGGGCTTTTCCAAACACAGGACCCGGAGAAGGTCCGTGACTCATGTGTCCTCCTGGATGAGTCAGACCCTCTCTTTCCACGCCTAGCACTCGGAATAGAGGCACTGTCTGCTTGGCCTTCAAGTGTAGGTGGAGAGCTGATGAAGAGCTAAGCCAGGCTGGGCATCCCGGAGGAAAATCCCTCTTGGATTTGCTGTCACAGCTGCTCTCCTCGCAGCCTGGGCCTGGCTCCTTGTGGTGACTCAGGATTGGCAGGGAATTGGAGCCTGGGGATTTCGCCGTCGCTAGAAACCCCCTAGTCGAGTCGCTCGACGTAGCCATGCASATGACCAGAGAGGTGGCCACGTGACGGTCAACTGGTCATTAAGCTTAAAGAGAGCGCAACGAGGGGAGTCGCGAGCAGGTCGAGGACACGGAGCAGTTTGCCCCCTTCAGTCAGCCCCTTATTTATGAACTGATGCTTCTGAACGCGAGAGGCCGCTTCGGAAATGCCCTAGCCTGGCACAGGCTGAAAGGCTCCTCTGCAAGGGGAGGCTTTCGGTAAACCCGCGTGGTCTGGCGAGCTCGATTCCTTGCACTGGGCTCATTTCGATGACCAGAATGACTCAGGCAGTGCGGCCTGGGCTCGTAAAAACAAATCTGAGCAGTTTTGGAGGAACTGGGAAGCAGCTTGGGCAATTCAGGTAACTTCCCTGTTCTTCCCCACATGGCCAGTTCTGTACTGAGTGTCTTTTAGCCTGGGCTTAGCCCATCCCGCCTGTGGAAGATGGAACTATCTCCCCACAGGGCACCACTGTGTGGGTCCAGGTTGAACCGTGTCTGATGTGTGAATCACGGTGCCGTCGCTTGGTGCAGTGTCCAGACCCGGCAGCGAGCCCGTGACCTTCTCAACGTCTCCTTTCCAGATGCCGTCTTTGCGTTCCAGCTGCGCAACCCCGTGCACAACGGGCACGCGCTGCTCATGCAGGACACGCGCCGGCGCCTGCTGGAGAGGGGCTACAAAAACCCCGTGCTGCTCCTGCACCCGCTGGGCGGCTGGACCAAGGACGACGACGTGCCGCTCGAGTGGCGGATGAAGCAGCACGCGGCCGTGCTGCAGGAGCACGTGCTGGACCCCAAGTCCACCGTCGTTGCCATCTTCCCCTCTCCCATGCTCTACGCCGGCCCCACAGAGGTAACGCGGCCGCCGGGCGCTCGCCGAGCTGCCCGCTCGCGGGCGGTAGCCTGACGCCGGCCGCGTGTCGGCTCCGCAGGTGCAGTGGCACTGCCGGGCCCGCATGATCGCCGGCGCCAACTTCTACATCGTGGGCCGCGACCCAGCGGGCATGCCGCACCCCGAGACCAAGAAGGACCTCTACGAGCCCACGCAGGGCGGCAAGGTGCTCAGCATGGCCCCGGGCCTCACCTCCGTGGAGATCATCCCCTTCCGCGTCGCCGCCTACAACAAAGTGAAGAAGGCCATGGACTTCTACGACCCGCAGAGGTAACGCGGGCGGCAGCACCCGCTTTRCTTTTCTCCTGAGCGCTGCCGTTGGTTTAAGCTCACGTCGGGCTTGCAGCTCACCTGAGAAAAGCCGGGGGGAATGGCATTCCTGGTTTGAAAGATGGACATTTCTGAGAGAAATCAGAGGCGTACTAATTTCCTCTCCCTCTTTGCCATAGGCACAACGAGTTTGACTTCATCTCCGGCACCCGCATGAGAAAACTTGCTCGGGAAGGTGAAGATCCACCGGACGGCTTCATGGCCCCCAAAGCTTGGAAAGTCCTGACCGAGTACTACCAGTCGCTGGAGAAAAAGAATTAGGGCCACTTCTCCCTAGAAACGTGTATGTTAAGAGTGAGCAGTGATTGATTGATTTCCTGTGATAACAGATCAGTTTACTCGGCATTTTCCATAGTCTGACTCTAGGATTTTTTCCGAACAAGGTCAGAGTTTTTATTTTTATTTTTTAACTAATCAGAAGTAGTTTGAGGCTGATGCTTCTCCCCTTGAACTCGCYGAGAGCTTCCCTGCGAAGAGGAGCAGCCCTTCGTTCCCAACGCGTTGCGGCTCCGGAGGGCGGTCGCCCCGCACGGGATTCGGATCGGATCATTCTGTGCTGCTGCGGCCACGCTCCCGTCCCTGATGCAGAGGSGACCCTGCAATAATTAATAGCATTTAAAAGCACATTTGCCCCCTTTATGAAACAGAAATAAGTGACTTGTCTTTTCCCCCCCTGACCAGCGTGGCCCTGCTGCTGGTCAGAACAGGGAGGCCTCCCAAAAAACAGGGAGTTTCTTTGCTAATCAACAGCAGGATTTTTCTCCTGTCCTCTTTTAATGGGATTTTTTTTAACGGCGGTGTACTAGGAGGCAGCTTCAAGGCCAGGAAGCCTGCGAGAGAACTCCAAGGGCCCGTCCGCAAGGAGGAGCGGCYGCGGCGGTCACGTGGCTCCGTGAAGAGCTGGCCCTGGGGCCGACGGAAGGTTCCTGCGGGTCGATGCGAAGCTGCTTTCCCTGGGCGCCTGGGCTCGGCCGTGCCGCCGGCTGCTCCCGCTCCTCCGCCGCAGCCGCCGTCACCTGCTCTCGTCCCGCCGCGKCGCCGCCGCGGCTCCGCCGTGGTGCTCGGCTGCGACAGGCCGGCCGGGAGGGAAGGAAACAACTACGCACTTGTTCGTTACTGCAACGACAAATTCACGGCATTTACACTTAGTTCCTTAGCCCCAGAACCAGTCAGAATGTGTTTTAAATGAACTGGAGAYAGCCCTCTCCTCTCCGAGTTTCCCTTCTAATTGCAAACAGGTCTACATTAAGAAAACAAAAATCAATCACGCTCTTCCCCTGTCCCAGTGAGCGACGTCTCAAGAGAAATGTCCGCTGTGGCCACGGAGCAGCGTCTAAAACTATGCAAGCAATGGGAAATATTTTATGCGAAAGTGTTTTATTTTTCAATTACGTCATCTGTTTGGGTTTTTTTTGGGGGGGGGGGATAATTTTTAGAAGTATTTAGAGGGAAAAGCTCAAAGCTGTTATTATACCTCAAAAAAAAAAAAAAAAAATGCAAAGACAATGTTAATAGCACAGTAGCCACAGTGCCTTTCGTATGGAGCCCCTCTGGCAGGGACCCAAAAGACAAAAGCACAACTCCAATTTATATGTAATATTTGCCATTTTTTAAAGAGTAGAATAGCGCTCTTGCCTCTCAGCCTTAAAATAATCGAGTGGTTCAGGAAGATGCCAAGTGGTTATGGCAAAACCTAAAGGTTGTGTGCTGCCTTCCAAATAGCCTAGGATGCTGATTACCTCCGATTAAAACAGAGTACATCGCCTAGACTTTTTATAGGGTATTTATTGAAGACACGAGACTGGAATTTGTACCTCGACTGATGCATCTCATGATTTAATATATTCTGAACTTGATACTCTGCTGCAAAACACTCACTTTAAGTACAAATAAATATTTATACGTGCAACTAATTCCTCCTTGGCGCTTCTTGCCGGGTTCTTGGTCCCTCCGCATGGTGCCACACTCGCCCAGCGCCTCCGCGCCCCTCTTGGCTTTGACCCTCTGCTCCCCGGGACGCCGAGCGCCGCCACTGCCCTCCRGAGGGAAAAACACTCTGCTCCTTTAGCCTTGGTTCCTTGAGGCTATTCCAAAGGTTTCTGATTAGCTGCTCCACAGCCTGGGGACAAGCTGTACTGAACCCGCTGTCAGGCTGAGGCTGAATAGCTGAACAGTCTTTGCTTCCTGGGCCTATGTCTTTCCTGCCAGAAGAGCCACCTGTCCCGCCCAACAAGGCTCCTTTTCCTGGTGGGAATCGCAGGAGCCGGCCGCCGGAGGATGCCCCTGCTCCCCCGCGCCAGGCCCAGCCAACGCTTCAAACCTGCTCAGAAAACACGTTTCGTGGTCCCTGCTCTCGCTGTCCAGCGGGCAGCGCGCGGGCCGAGCACGGAGGGAGCTGCGGGACTCCCTGCTACGTGTGTACCGGCTACCTYGTCTTGCCTCTCTCCCTGTTGGAAGAATATAAATTATTACTGTGGCATCTCATCGCTTTTGGGTGGGGGGAGATTTTTAAAGCAGAACCACCCCCAAAAACTCCCTCTCCCCAAGCCCCGTRGATTCGGGGGGATTAAAGGGAGTCAAACTACCAGGTGTTGCGTAAGGGGCATTGCACAACGTGGGCGCAAAYGAAAGGCACTCCAGTTGTTCATGGCAAACAGTGAGGAGAAGAAAATAAAACAATAAAAACCCTATTGGCTAACACGAGCAAAAAGCTTCTCCCCTTCCACTTCTTTAACCCTTTGCCTTTGTCGCATCGTTTCACATAAATTTATTCAACTGGTAGCAGCAAGAACAGCAGAACGTTGCTAAGTCATTACAGGTTTCCGCGCGAGCCCCGCTGCCCGCGGCAAAGGGGAGCAGGTGAGGACGCCCCGCGGCGCGACCCACGGCCTCTTGCCTCCGTGCAAGGCCTTGCAGGACGTGCTGCGGCGCGAGGCTGCGGCGCTGCCCCAGCCCGGCGTGGGAGGGGACGGAAGGGCAGCGAGTCCTCCTCGCAACACGCAGCACCTCCGGGAGCCCCCGTTCTGCAGAGAGCTTAGCTTAATGCATGGGGGGTGGTGAAAGAGCAGCTGAGGAGCCTCCACGCTGATAGGAGCAGTTGTAAAGCGGGGGAAAAAAAAATACAAAAATAGCATTCAAGGCATTAAATATCTTCAAGTAGCAGGACTCATACAAAATAAAAAGTATTCGAACGTTTTGCAGAGCAGTTTTGCTCTCCTCACTAAACGGAACCAGACTTCAAGYGGTAACGTGAAAGAAAACGCAGGAGTAGTTTTATTTTTTTGCCCGGAAATTATCCTGGAAGCAGAATTTCTACCTTCATCTTGGCTGCTGAAAGGAAGAAGTAAGTGTGATTGGACTACAGATGACTTGAACCTACACATCTCCTGATCTGGTTTGATTCAGCAAGTAGAAAAGATTTTTTTGTCGTTTTTCCATACTCAAGTTATCTACAGGTTGTCTATATATATAAAAAATGTGTGGATATATATACATTTCATACATACACACACGCTTGTACATATATACACAAACTCCTCGGCACCACATCAGCACCTGCTTCAAGGCGACGCAGGGCAGCGATTACGGGACGAGACACAGGCAGCTGCTCTTGGTCGGGGCTATAATTGTTCCACATCATGATCTACTGTTACATCTCTAATCGCGCGTGGCTACATTTCAATAACTTAGAATTTGCAGTATAAAAAAACAATCCCAGAAACGTAACTCCCTTGCTCAGAGAACATCCCCGCTCCCCCCCTTACACCGTTTCCACTGATTACAGAAGCCAACAAACTAAATCACGTCAGAACTGCAAACACGCTCGGCAACCTTAATCTAAACTAACATGCATCAGGACATTTTGCAGCGTGGCGTCCTTCGATCTTCGCATCTTTTCGATCGCCCTCTGTAGATCCTGCTGCTGCACGGGCCGGATTTCATCTTCGTCGTGGCTTTACAGGAGGAAAAAGAGGGGGAAAAAACAAAATAATGAGTCAGGTGCTGCAGAAAAGCTACCCGGATGGCAGGGGCTGTTGAGCTGTCGTAGGCAGCGGGGACGACACCTACTTCTCCTCCTCGCAGGCGGCGTTCACGTACTCCCGCACGCACAGCAGGGCTGCATCCCGGCACATTTCCTTCAGGTCGCTCCCTGAGAAGCCGTCCGTTTCCTTAGCGACTTCCAGGAGATCTACGTGCCTGTCCACCTGTCCAAAAAGAAAGGGCAGAACGCGGTAACTTCCAAGCCAGTCACACTATTCTACAGCAGTACATCACGTAATTGCTGCTAAATATTTTTACCTGCCTTTCGACTTTTTTTTCCCCCCCTCCAGATTCATCTTTGGCATCCTCAGGGAGAGAAATATATTATCTCGTTATACAACAGGGAAATGGAGACAGAGAAATTAAGTGATTTTCCTCGGAGATAGGGTTTCACCAAGAAAGCCGAGACTACTACTGCTCTAGTAGCAGGTGCTTAAACCACAACGCAATTCTGCTTTAATTTGAAGCCACACCTAAAGCCACAACAGATTTCTACGCTGTAATCAGAAATACTCTGGTAGATAATATATAACCTGCTTTGAAAAGGACAATTACACAACATGTTTTCCGCAACTCTAGAGCTTACGTTCAGCACCACAGCAACTCAGCAGATGAACCACTGCAAGAAGTCTACTTACGTTTTCATTTTTCAAAATTAGTTTCAGGATTGCTTCTCTCTGCTTCAGAGCCTTAAACAAAAGGGATTTGTGTTATTAAAGAACAAAAAGCAAAGTTTGTAACGTCTCAGCTTTGTGCTGCACGGACCTGCAGTCAAATTTCGGCGGCAGACTGATCCCTCAAATGGGAGGCAAAGCTGCACACCAAGGGAAGGTATCCGCACRAGGGCCAAATCACCCGGCAGGGGCAGACCTGGAGTGCTCTGGTTCCAGGGGCACATGAAACTAAACATCTCAGCACATGCATTTGTAATAATGGTAGGAATAGAGGGGGAGAAAAAAGGCACCATCGGACATTTAGCCTCGCTTTGCCCTATGTGATAGCAGCTTTTGGCTGAGGTKTCCCAGCCATCTTTAACAGAGCATCAACTCCCTAGATCCACAGGGTGCTTTTAATAGACGTTCTGCAAATAGACAGCCTTATCAGATGAAAAGGATAAACTGCCCTGCTTAAAAAGCCTGTTTAAAAAAAATACTTAATTCAACTGGTCATTGTCAGGCAATTTTAAGCAATACTCATCACACACTGTTAGTAACTGCAGTTTTTAGAAGAAATGGGCAAGCCCTAAGCCTTACTAACAAGGCAAAATGCAGGTAGCGAAGCCATTTGTTCGCTTCTCCCAATACCAAATGTGTCCCAAACTCATGAGAGCACCACGGGTGCAGGTGCTGTTAACACACTTGGACAAGGATGACCATAGCAAAATGCATAGAAGCGGTAAGATATTAATTACTATGTGGCATAAGTCATGAAGGGTACAAGAACAGTCTTCCAGACCGCCTGTTGTGCCCGACTGTAGARGGTATGAAGCAGAGTGGAAGTTTTGGGATGCAGATTTCACTCCCTTCTTTTCCTCTGAGGAATCAATGTTTCCTGGCTGATGAGGTGATGCTCACTGCTCAGCCCCTCGTTTAGGCAAACTGTGCAAGCGAAGAGGGCCGCACTTACGGGCTGGTTGATGTGAAACCGCGTCGGCATTCGTCTCATGATGGCAGAGTCAAGGTCCTGGGGCCGGTTGGTGGCTCCCATCACAATCACCTGTGCAGAGCGACAGAGAAAAGCCGTGAGCCTGCAGGCAGCCTGCAAAAACGTCGTTGTCCTGAAGTTTCAMAGCCAAGCACGTGCCTCTCCCTAACTTCATCGAGCACGTTAACACCGAAGGAAGTTGCATGTTTCCTGGTACTGATTCCAGCAGCTGGATTTAAACAGAGAGCTTAGGGAAGCAGTGGTACCACACGAGCCTGAAGCCCWATGAGCCTAATTTCAAAGCTCAAGCAACAAGGGGCAACCCCAAACTTCTTCTCGTATAGATGTCGCTGACATCTGTTTAGTTCCCATCGGGAACCGAGTGCAGAAGGAATGTGAAGGGAAGCATTTTGTTGAGCTATGAAAAAAAAAAAAAAAACCCAGCATTTTCAGTGCTACATCTGAACAGAAGAGACAACTTAACAGCAAAGCATTGCACGTACATGAGCCAAATTCAATACAGAGTATTTACCTCACTTGAACAGACCAAAGTAGTTAGTTTAAGAACAAATTCGCTTCCAGCACACATCAGCCTCGTGCACTTGTTATTTTAAGCTATGTACATGGTAAATAATCAGTCAAGAGAATGAATTATGCCAGAGAAATTAATATCCAATGCCCACAGCGTCCTGACGGGCGGCCGCTCTTTAGTTCCGGATCAGTGTTCCGCAACGGGCTCCGGGCTGTGTCCGGGCCTGGATGAGAGCGACTCTGCCACCTAGAGGCCTCGTTACACGGGCCAAACAGGCCAAAAGACTCGGATTTTAGGGCTCCACAAACACCTCGGGGTCCCTTCTAGCAGCAGTTACACACACAAGTTCGCTGCTCTTGTGTGYAACGGGTCAAGTAAGCAAAATAATTACGAGCAACCATCCGGTTTGAAAACCAAGGAGAACAAGCAAACAAAAAATCCGAATCAGAAAAATAAAATCTCAACATTCAAAAACCCTCCCAACTCAAAGGAAATTTGCTAGTCTACTGCTTTTCAAAAGAGAAGTAAAAACACTAGAACAAGTAGGATGCATACTCAGATCTTCCATATCTTTCTTGAAATCGAGGAGTCACTTGGAAAATATTGCTGACACGATTTTTTTTCAAAGCTGTTTTAAATTCCTAATTTTGGCAGCTCAAGGTTCACAGCACTATTATTCAGACGTGAAAAGAGGACCTCTTTAAGTTAAAAAACAGCACCCTCCCCTTAAAAAACAAACAAACAAACAAACAAAAAAAAACAGCCTTCTTAAGAACAGAAAGATCCATTAATATAATTCATCTCACTCCCATACCACACTGACAGGCAGACAAGCTCCTGGTGGTCACTACGGGCACCACGCTGCAGCAACAAACGCTAACTTGGAAGCGAGACCTGATGCTTTTCATGCCATCTTAGACTTACTTGACAATTGTAATCGGTGTCCAGACCGTCCCACAGACTCATGAACTGAGCTTTCATCATGGCTGTAGCTTCGTGGTCCGAACTCGAGCGACTTCGCAAGAAGGAATCTGGGTTCAAGGATTCAGTAAAGCGGTTACTTTCAATCCCACATCATTTTCGTTCTCATGTGCAGACCTGTATTATTCTTTGTTTACAAATATTTTTTTTAAGAAGCATTSACAACAAATAGGAATTATTTCCTATGACAAAGGATAAGAAAGTGGAACCTTAGGGTTTTTTTCAAACACTTTTTTTTTTCAGGCATGTTACTTATCTATGTGCTTATCACAAGAAATTGTCTCAAATCTTGTGTATATTGTGAGGTCTCCAGATTCCGGGAATTCCTGAATTCCCGGAAAATTCAATTGTCACCCAAACTGAAAAGTTTCACTGAGCAACTGGCACCTTTGCTGCCTTCCTGACTGCAGTTTTCCCACTACTTTTTCAGCCTATCAGGCTACTATGCCTCAGCTCTCCTAATCCCATAYTTTATTCCCTACCATGTTCCCTTATGACACAAAACACTCGGTGTCAAAGTGCAGATGAATTTCCTGGATAGGTACCTTTGCAGAAGCAAAACTTCTCGCAAGAACCAGCTCAGCCCAACCCAAAATACGCAGCAGAAATTTCCTCTATTTTTCCTATTTCATCATTGTTGCTTTTCCATACGACTTCTGTGACTAAACCTGGCTTTGGCGTCGCTCCCTCTAAAGAGCACTACATAAACACACCCATCAACCTGAGCTTGCACTTTAATGTTACTTTATCCCATCTGCAGGCAGCTTTGTTTTCTTTTTACCTATTTCATCGATAAAAATGATGGACGGCTGGAGCTTTATAGCGAGGGAGAAGACGGCGGCAGCCAGTTTTTGGGACTCCCCATACCACTTGTCAGTCAGCGTCGAAGGCTGCAGGTTAATGAATCGACAACCTGCTTCCTTGGCCGTAGCTTTGGCAATCAGTGTTTTGCCACAACCGGGAGGGCCGTACAGAAGTACTCCTGAAAAAGGAAGGGTGTTAAAAGCTGCTTTGCTSTAACAGCCACGATTGCATACAGGCTTTTGATCCCATTTCATCCCATTTGAAAACGAGTTTATAGTGTTCCATCGTATTAAACACAGTAACATTTTTAACATGCCTTTAGCATAATATAAAAAAATAAGAATATCTAAAAATACTGTCAAATTGATGAGACATTTGTTCGAAAATTGAGTATTCTATTTTTACGACTGCAAATTTAAGACGAAATTGAAAAAAAAACCTATTTTTTTCAATGAGCTTTTGAGAGGCCTTTTTCTTTTATAGCTGGATTCAAACTCTCTATTAAAAAGTATCCCAGAGGAAAAAGAAGGGAAACTACATAAATAACCCGATGACTTTTAAAGTATGATAAACTTGTCATAATGAAGCAATTCACACTAATTCTTTTCTATCATGTAAAGAAAACAACTTAACAACAAAAAAAAAGGTACATACAGAGAATTACAAAGGTTTTCCTTTTTTTCATGTTAATGTGACTGATGACCTTAAGTAACACGATCTCTCTGAAGTGACTTTTTATTAACACGTGATGCAAGGCGCTAATAAAACTAGGGACCTTGCCCTGTGTGGAAAGTCTGGCTAAAAATAAATGAACAAATAATATAAATCTTTTTCCTTCAGCTTATTAGATCGTGAAATTACTCCAGACAGTTTCAACCTGCAACTTCAATAGTGAGTAGTCTGGAAAGATTAAAGCAACTTGCTACAAAAGTGCTATTTTTTATTTGATTACTTGAGTTAGTTCATGAAACAAAGACAAGATGGTCATAGATATAGGGAATAATGAACAGTATTTAGAGGATTTTCAGAAGACAAAATGGACTGCATGCAAGAAAAACTGATTTCAAGAACTAAAGAACAATCATTCTCTTAAGAACATGGTTTAAGAACAATTTGATCTTAAAAAAATAAAAAGAAAAAAGGAGGAGCAAAAGGAGAGGAATAAACATGCTCTGACCCATAACTCCTGTTACTATGGATAACTGTTAACAATTTCCTCTTTTCTAAGTAATCATATTTTTTTTTTTTTCTTTTAAGGAGTCCGTAACAATTCTTTCCTACCTTTAGGTGGCTGTAAGAGCCTGGAATTCTCAAACAAGTATTTCTTTTTGATGGGCAAAATGACTGTGTCTTTCAAATCTGTAATGACATCATCCAAGCCTGCAATATCACTCCAGGTGACCTGATAATGGAAAAACGATATTAGGAATCTTTATCATGCCTGCCAATAAAAAAAAAAAAAAAAAAAGGCAGAGATTTTTTTTTTTAAGGAGGACTTATAAAAAGCTTCAAACTAGTGTAAAGCCTCAAATTAAGTGACTAAAACAACCTACTTTGTTAGGATGCAATTTTTGTATGAAATGACAGAAATATTTTCTGTATATTTTCACACATATACATGAGAAATAAAAGCAGCCAAGATCTTCCACATCCCAAGTGCTCCTGTAGGAAAGAGGGGCAATTGTGCAGAGTCCCTTACGTGCATGCTAAGGGGGTCTACGAGATGCGCAGCAATGCTCATTTCATACTCGGTGAGCTTGACATTTTTCACTCCAATTTGCTTCATTAGCTTTTCAGCCTGAAGGAAGGGAAAAAAAGTAAAGATTAAGCAAAAAATGGAAGAAGGAATGGTTAGTTGATTCAAAAGTCATTTTTTAAGAGCTGCTATTTTGAGTCTGAAAGGTAGAAATGTGAGCTTCTCAGTAAGACACATCTGAAAAACGCTCACAGCATTATGAAGTAGAAGGCTCTGCTGTTTCCTAATGACTTACTAGTCACTTGAGTGAAACTAAGTCACATGTCTAAGTTCCCATCAGATAAATGTCACACCACCCCGTGCCCCCAAAACTACAAGTCATATATTGTGCCCTRAAACGCAACCAAAACAAACATTAAAACACTAGGTTTGCCGTCCAGAACAGGGCTAAAATATAGGGAAATATAGGGAAACCCATCAGAGAACCACTTCCGTAAGGTATGTGGGATCATTAAAGCTAACTCTAGAGATTCTTCACATTTCTTTATTACATTTCATTTCACTCACAACCCTGCAAGTAACATGAACACGTTTTTAGGGAAAATACCATTTATGTTATTCTAAAAAAGAATCTCTACTTGCAGTGAGTAAAGATTCATTTGTTTTTAATTAAAAAAGAAAAAAAAAGATAATGCATAGAAGTTAGTCACTATTTTTCTTCAGCATTCAGCGCTTTCTTTCTCTCCATTTAAAAGGAAAAGTCATTTGTTGTGTCAACACGCTTTCACAATTCCCCTTCTCTCTACGCTCAATTTTGCGGTTAAGGCTGACATGCTTTGGGGATATTGCAATCTCTTATATAATCGCTGGCATTAGCACAGATTGTGAAAGTCCACTTTTCAAGCTGGGCCCAAGTTTTAACCAAAGATTTCATTAAAAAAAAAGAAAGAAAAAAAAAAGAACCTTCCGTACCAAAATAGACAGGTTGCTCCAAAACGCTGTTTGAATTTGTTAAGTTTGATTTGTGTCAGACGAAAATAGCAGCGTGGAACCTGGCATTTGCTAAAAAAAAACTCTTAATTTTTTGATTTCTGTGATATCTAATCACTTTTTTTTTTTTGCATTTCCTTTGTCGGTTATTCCAACTCCAGTTTTGAGGTAGCAAATTTCTTTGCACAAAGAGGAGTCCAGGAGATAGCACGTCAGCAACAATATTTACGTCCAACACCCCTACCTGTTTCTGAGCTTCTACTTTTTGCTTCCTGGTTGGATCGATGGCATCTACCATCCATTTGATGGTAAAATACGTGACAGCGCCAAATATCGTCAAGCGGAAAATTAAACTGACCACCTCATTGCGACTCAGGGGACGGGAAAACGCTTCGGCGTGGACCATCTTGCAGCCCTAAACGCAAAAAACAAAATGCAGGATGGAAGGAAGGAAGCAGAGAAACATAATCAAAAATGAGGGGAAAAAAACTGCTTTATGTTTAAACACTGTTTTATAGAATTGTATTTTCCATGCAGAAAGCAGGCATAAAGTTGACCAGGGAGTAGCTCAAGGTACTCAGGAAAAGTATCTCATGAAAAGTGCTCAAGCGTCAGCATTTTTAAAAGGAAAAAAAAAAAAAAAAAGGTGTATGACTTGGTTTGGGGTATGGCAAGGTTAAGAGTTGGAAGCTGCATCTATGTTGGCATCGCTCGTCTTCGGAGCTATTAATATCCCCGGAAAACTGAAGATGCTGGATGTGGCACATGGGAAAACAAGGGAAAACCCCCCTGTARGAGGGGGAACTTGCAAGGGTCGCCCCTGTAAATCAAGGGGGCTTGCTGGAGGTGAAGAAAACCTCTAAAGCACACACAAAACTGCGCCAATACTCGGAGCCCTCCTTCGCCGCGCTGCTTCCCAGGCATCTCCCCGTTGGAGCCTCGCAGAAGCGACGCTCCTTTTCCCCCGCGCGGGCAAAACGGGTGGGAACGCTCCCGGCCTCGCCTGGGATCACCGGGCCCTGGATTTGCCCCCGGGCCTGGCCGGAGCACGGGGACCCTCCGCCGCGGTAAAGGGGGAAGGCTCCTCGCGGCGGGGAAGGGGCCAGGGGCGCGGGGAGGGCCTCGCCGCGGCCGTTACGACCGTTACGGCCCGCGGCGGGGGGAGGGGAAGCC